AAAAAAACTGCAATGTGTACCAAAAACTTGTAAGCCTTTGCTAAATGGCTAACGTACTCTTGAGTCATCTTACAGGTTTCATCGTAAACTATCACATAATCCACACAGAATAGCGTAGCTGCTCGTGCAATCTGTACAAAATCACAAATTAGATGAAGGTAAAAGTTATAATGATTTCGAGATGACACCTGTCCTGCCATGTAAGTCCTAAGTTCAGCACTCTGTCCATTGTTGAGAAAAGAGCCGGGTATTGCTATGGATATAGAGTAATTAGAATCTGAAAATCAAACTTTCATCAAGGATGATTGTAGAAGAATAACATCCAGGACTGAAGGCAAAATCACACCTTTTCCATTCTGTTTTTTATCATTAGTGGCAGACTCTTTGAGCTTCTTCAACTCCAAATTCTCATTGAGCAGGGCCTGCTCCCTCTTTTCGGCTGTTGCTTGCTTGTCTAAACAGCATTTTGATAAAGTAGCTTAAAAAGGTAGGTTTTGACTTTTATCCCCTGAGGCAGACCAGCTTTCAAGACCCAAGAAATAACAAAAAGAGCATTTGTAGTGAGTGTGGATAAAATATGTTAGTAACACATTACCTGATTTGTCTTAAAGTCATGAAAATGGTAAAAGAGCGGCATTCGGTGTTTAAAAATTAAATGCAAGTGATCCAAAATGCACTTACATTCCCTCCAAGTTTTGCTTGTTGATTTCTTCCGTAGTAGTTTTTCTCCAAGTTTTCGCTGCTTTCGTTTCAATTCTTTATCCACCATTTACCCTATAATACTAGGCACTACAAAGCAAAAAGACCAAGTATTTGCAATAGCTACGCTCAATTCAAATATTATACGAATGCGTTATTTCAAACAGTGAGAAAGCTCGAAAAACAAACCTAGGAAACTGCATAATGACTGACAAACAGTTGCAAAAAACTTTACATTGGAATAATTTCTCTGAAAAAAAAAACACATCAACCTACCGGGGAAAAACAGAGGAATATTTGGAACATTAAGCGAAGTTAGTTAGGCGTCAAATACATTGCATCTTCTTCAAAAGCACACATTTGTCAAAATTTACGGTTAGTGCAATGGAATGGAGTAAAGAGCCAAAAGGTAAGTAATTGCGATAACTGCAGCTGTTTCATACACTCTGTTACGTAATGCTGAACATCATCTGGTTGGGTAAAAAGCAAGCTTGCTATCTGCCTATCCATCCATGCGCGACTAATATCCAAATTTTATACTGTTTCCCGATATCTTTCAATGCGAAAACTCCTTTTTTTAGTGGAAAAACGAACTCAGAATGGTAGATTCCTTTCTAACAATCAGGTTATGTTATGTGTAGTTATGTTAGAATAGTTAGCTTCGACAAGATTGGAGCTTCATTGTCACAAAATGAAGGCGACAGGTAATTCAGCATGACAGCAATTTCCGGTTGTATAGTAAGAGCAGCAATTCTTTGCTTGAAAGATAGTATAGGAAATTAGGGGCTATTCCATTTGTATTGTACAAAAACCTCCAAATTTTGAACTTTGCTGAAGCATCGCTCAGCAAAATTCCTGAGCG